AATTTCATGTATATTAGTTTGCTTCAGCAAGAACAAATGAAGCTCAAAATGCACAAACCCACAGACACGCCCCCTGTATTCTTTGCCTCTACTGTCTATTTACCCCACATTGTGGAGTTAGTTTTCTCTCTACCCCTGGATAAAATCTGTGCTCGTTCCATCTTTTTATGGTCACTCTCAGGTAATAAAATGTCTATTGGTCACATTTCAATAATTAAATATCTCATCAAAATTATGAATTTTGTTGAAGTTTAAATCTTTTCCCTTCCCCCACGTAGAGTCTGCTCCAGGCCAGAGACGCCTGTGAGGGAAGGATGTGGCAGGGGGAAGGTTAGCTGCTTTTCTACTTCTTCACTTGCTCCACTCCTCCCTCCTCTCAGACAGCTAGACGACTAAAAAGCTCTCATGGGATTACTTTACCAATATTAATTACTTAATTGAGACTGCTGTTGTGACAAGACTGTTTTGTTATCCGAGTGATCAGAATAAAATATGGCACTTGTCCAAGATTTATCTCGTCTCAGGACAGGGAATGAACCATCCCAAACAAGCTAGCATACACAGGCAGTGGAGAAAAACAGTGAAATTATTTTTCTATTGTACCCCATGAGTCCCAGTTGTTCAAAACAGTAATGGCACGGAGATCTCTCTGCTTCTCTGGGATCCTTTAAATAATCTGTGTATGGCACTACTGAGTTCACCTAGACATGAAAACAGCCAGCATTTCCAAGGGCAAAACTACTGCTGAGAAATAAGAATAGCCTTTTGGATGATTTTTAAAGATAAAGACTTGACAAAGTCTCAGTGTTTACTTGTTGATGATAATGACACTTTTGGCAATGGTGCGCAAAAAAGGTACAGTTGGTAGAGGAGTGTTTCCCGTTTAACAGGGTAAAATAAGACTATTACTCAGTTATGACTGAAGATCTAAGATAATGAACTCCAACTCCTTCATTACAAAGAGAGGTGCTGAATCACTCATGTAGAACAGGCAAAGCATTGAGCAGTAACTGACTTTTAGCCTCTTGGCCTCTCATCCACCTTGAAGATTTAAAAAAAAAAAAAGTTGAAATTGAAGAGACCCAGTTGAGAGTATCTGGAATTTGGAGGAGTCATTTGGAATCCCATTCCTGTTGTCCCCAAAAGGTAGGGGTAGTAAGTATATCCCATTCATTTCAAGCCTTTGAGTAAGGCCTCAAGGATACTGGACAGGGAACTTGATCAGTGTTTCCCTGAAGTTGGAAGATGTGGTGGACTGAAGTCTGACTCACTCCTGAAGCAGCCTGTGGCATCAGAAGGGAAATTTGATTTGGGAAGTACCTACACTTCCATCGATATGGGTCATAGGAGTATGTTTCCTGGGGACCCTATAAGAAACCCAAGAAAGAAATGCCAATTGAGGATCACCTAAAACAACTCTTGCCAAGAGAGATTCTTCCAGGGCGTAAGTCACCCTCAGCAGAGAGAACCTGGTTACTCTCGAATGTGGGGTTTTGGTGTGAGTTCTAAATGGCCTGCGTGTTTCCTGTACCAGCCACCTTCCTTATACGTCTACTGCGACATTACAGTGTGCAGTGCACATGGGAAGATCTCATTTTGGGAGATCAGAAGTGAGGACTAAAACAAATGGATACTCAGGAAAACAAAGGATAAGAATGATTTATGAAGTGAACTTCCTGCACAAACATTAGATATCACCATTTGACTCAAGTGGCACTTATGCAAATTAAATGGAAATTTTAGTGATTATCCTGTGAGTTTGTACTTTGTTAATTTAGCTATCTCACATACCAAATTGCCAATCTCCAATTTGTGATATATATATATATGTGTGTGTGTGTGTGTGTGTGTGTGTGTATAAAGCCCAAAAGACTTTTAAACATATGGAAGTGCATTTATAAGTTACCCACCCTTATGTCATGTTATGAACATTTCTAGACCAAAGTGATTTTTCACATTAAGGTGATATAGGATTAGGTTTACCTACATGCAACAGAAACCACAAATCAACAGTGGCTCTTCACATAAGGTTTTATTTTTTCATGTAAAAAGTCTGGAGGATAGCAGGCCAGGACTGGTATGGAATTTTCACAAATTAGTAGATTCCCACTTCTTCCAGCTTTCTGCTCTGCCATCCTTTGGGCAGGGCCCAAGACAGCTGCTGGAAACCTGTCATTATGTCTGCACCCCATGCAGCAGAAAGAAAAAACCAGAAACAGGACCTTTCCTGGAGGTTGTATAAATTACTTTCACTTATGCCCTACTGTCCAGAACCAGCCACTGGTTATATCTAAGTATAAGGGAGACTAGAAAGATGTAGTGTGAAATACCATGGTCCCAGCTAAAATTTTGGGGTTCTATTACTGATGAATATGGGAAGTCTAATATTGGGGTATAGCATTTACCTATGATACAGAAAACAGAGATTAAGAGTGGGCTCTGGAGTCAGATGGCTTCTCTTTGATTCTTGGCTCCACTGCTCACTAGGCTGTAACTCTGGTCAAGAGTCTAAAACACTCCATGTCTTTATTTCCTCAGGTGTAACGTGAGCATGGTAGAGTTTTCATGAGCATTTAATGGGAAGACATTTGGAGTGGTGTCTGGCCATGTGCTATTGTTATTACCATTATCCCCATGATTTACTACAATTCACTAAAGTACAGTCAGAATAGCCTCTGGAAATTACTACTCTAGCCCTAGGACTTAGTAGGATGCCTGGCACTTCACAGACATGGATGGATGAATGGGTGAATGAGTCGGACTGAGTTTTGAATTGTGAAACTTCTCCCTTCTCAGTGGTTTACATGGGTGTTACTTAAGCCCTTTCAACCTCAGATAAACTGTTCCTAGTGTTTTCCTTCCCTCCAGATTCATTCCCCACCCTTCTCAGCCCTGTTCTGTGCCAAGGAGGCTGACCTTTATGGACCTTTATGAGCTCCCTTGCCCTCGGGCTTCCTGTTGGGGTTTGCCTATAGAAGGCACTGACAGGCATTCAGAAGTAGGAGAGTTAGCTTGGATATTTACTACTGTGGTTTCCTCCCTGCAGAGCCTTGGTTTGGCAGTGGCTGTGTGCTATAGACTGAATGTTTGGGTCCCCCTCCCAAATTAAATGTTGAAATCCTAACCCCCCAGTGTGATGGTATTTGGTCATTGGAAGCCCTTATAAATGGGATTAACGCCATGTGAGTACATGATGAAAAGATGGCCTTCACCAGGCACTGAATCTGTTAGCATCTTGGTCTTGGACTTCTTAGCCTCCATAACTATGAGAAATAAATTTCTGTTGTTTACAGGCCACCCAGTCTATAATATTTATAACAGCAGCCCAAATGGACTAAGATACTATGTATCTGTTCTGAAAACCACAATTTCAAGTGGCCCTTTCCTTACCGCTACAGGCCTTTCTGGGTTCCAGTGACTGCCCCTACCTTATCGCTCCCCACTATTGCTGTCCTCACGACACTTCAACATTGTGGATTTTCTGAATGCTGGCCATACTTTATAAATACATCCTTTCTTAAACTCTCTTCAGTCCCCCATTTTATTGTTCCTTCCCTTCTTTGGCCAAGATTGATACACAATACTCGTAGGGTGACTTTGAGCATTTAATGAAATAATGCATACAAAGTGTTTAAAGTGGCATCTGACACAGATTAAGCACTCAATAAACTTAAGCTCTACTAATGCTATTATCATCTGCTTTCTTTTACTTCTCATTATTTCATGTTTGGCGATATCTTTGTTTCATATAATTTTCAAAGGTGTTGATTGATTTGAAGTATTTCATTGCCGAAAATTATCAGAGCATACCTAAGGTAAAATTTTGTGTCAAACTTAAACCTTAAAACATGGTGGCTAGAAATCTGCCCTCCCCCCCAAGATATGTCTTCTTTTTTTGTTAAAGTATAAACTATGAAGCCCAATACTGTGTCCTCTATCATTGACTTGTGAACTTGGGGATGTAAGAAGAGTAGTAGTTGAACTGGGGGTATATGAATGCAGGCTTGGAAGTTGGGCTGGGAGGCTGGTGATTCAGGAGGCTGTGCTCTTAGAGAACAGTGGTGAGAGAAGCCGAGGATCTGTAGAGCCAGGGAGTAGGCCAGGAAAGTAGGACCTGAGACTGTAGTTAAAATTGCTTTTGAGTTGGGGAGGTTCCTAGTTGTTGCAGAGCCGTATTATATGGACCCAAAGTGGACCAGAGGCATATGACTATAGCTATGATAGCAGCAGCAGTCTTCAAATTTCTAAACGGTGGTTTCTCTTTCTTTATAAACACAACCTAATGGGATTAATGGGATCTGGGGCTTTGTTGAATGTGTTGGGGACCCTAGTCGTCAGGATCAGGGAAAGTAACGGGTTCTGATGGTGGTGGAGAGTTCTGGTTCTCTGATGTGACCCTCCACATTTGTGGTATTCTAGAGTTTTGTATGAAACTATTCAATCGTCACCATCTGTTTTTATTCCAAGATTCCCTAGATACTACCCATGATGCATCTGCAGTTGGTTTGTGTACGTCTTACAACCTGCAGATTTTCCTCATAGTAATAGTTGCTTGATAATTCGTTGAATTATCACCTGTGATAGAAAATGGATAATGCTGGTGATGATTGACAGTGATGATGGTGATGATGATGATGATTATATATGAAGTTCTATTTGATTTACAAAGTGATTGCTACAATAATTCCTTACTTAGGGGAATTAAACTATGTTAACCTTGAGAAGGAATAGGAAGCAGATGTAATTAATATTCAGTTGAATGCAGCACTTTTCATTTCATAGAAACAACCAATTTGATTTTTATTTTTCAACAACATACAGTAAGAAATTGCCATTTTTACATGTTTATGATGAAATAGCTGCTATGAGATATCACTTATTTTTTAATATCAGTGGAGTCAACAATGAAAATCAGAATTTGATTCAACAAAAATATATTTTAGTAACTGACCATTTTTTACAATTTATTTTTCTCGTATATGGCTTCTACATTTTTCCAGATTTGGATCTCAGAAACACATGAACAAATGGAAAAAGCTATTTTAAACATGAAAAGGACTGAAATAAAAAGCAAGGCTTTATTGAATGAGGAAACAATAAGCTCTGGGATTATTGAAAGGTATTCTTAATATTTTCCTTTGCTTACAGAATAGGCACCTGCAGGAAAGGAGTTGTATAAGTACTGAAGAGGTATAGGGGCACCAGCTACATGTTACAGGAACACATCTCACACTTCCATGTTTTCTGCCTATGTCTTTCCTTCTGTTTGGAATTCCCTTCCCTCAGTTTGCCAATCAGCACTACTCATTCTGGGTCCAGCTAAAATGTCACTTCCTCTTTACATGTTCTTTCTGGTCAGGGTTCTGACTATCTAGGTTTGAACCCCAGCTCCACAATTTACTTGTGAAAGTTATTTAGTGTCTGTAACCCTTAGTTTCTTCACTGTAAAATAGGAATTATAAAACTATCTACTTTATAGAGTTTTTCTGAAGTTTAGATGAAATAAAGTGTGAAACGTGCATAGAAAGATTGCCTGAGGTGCATTAAGAATTAGCTAAGCTGTTATTAAACAGAATTAATTGCTCTTATTTCCTTGCCCTCAGGGCATTTTGTTTGTGTTCTATAAAAACAGTTGGACTTACATTCTAGTTATTTATATGTATGTATGTTTCTCTGAGATAGAGGGTTTTTTGAGAGTAGGAACTATTTCTTAGTCCTATCTCTAGTCCTGCAACCTGGCACAGTAACTTTCTGTGGAAGTGTGTGATGTAGACTTTGTCTTATATTGTAATTGTTGGAAAATGCAGTCAAAGTAATGACATTTTCATTTACACATTGGGACGTTTTATTTTACAAAGTGCATAAAAGTTGCAAACATGAAAATCCTTTAAAACTAATTATCATAAAAATTCAGCCCCAAATTAGTTTTCTATGGCTTTGCTAGTCTATAAATGTTAGTCTGACATGTTTCTAAAATTGGTATCTTGTTTCCAGGGACACTGGGTTGCCTGTGACAGGCTTTGGAGCTCTCTTTACTAGACACCCACCAAATCGGCGCAAAATGTAAGTAGCCCTTAAACTGCTGCAGGTTGCACATGTTCCCTAGTGATTCAGGAGGATTGCTTGCAGGGGTGAAGGTGTGAGGGGCCACCAAAGTCAACAAAATTACTTTTATGTGGCAGCTTACAGACTTCTTTCCTTTAACAAAAGGTTCTCTTTCCATCAATATGCATAACGTTAATAAATAATAGTCAACCCATATTATTCATGGATTCCATATGTGCAAATTCTATTACTCAAAAAAAATTATTTATAACCCCCAGATCAGTACTTGGGGTGCTGTTGCAGTCATTCACGAACATGTATAATGTGGTGAAAAACTTGAGCCACCCAATGCCTACATTCCCAGCTTAGGTTGAACAAGGTGAGGCTCTGCCTTCCTGTTTCAGCTCTAGTACTGTGAGCAAGTGTCCTTTTCAAGGTCTATTTAGTGAGTTTTATTTTGTTTTGTTTTTTTATTGTTCAAAATATTACAGATGTCCCCGTTTTCCCCCATTGACCCCTCCCACCCCACACACACTCTCCTTCCCAGGCCTCCACCGCACTATTGTCTGTGTCCATGGGTTATGCGTATATGCATATAAATTCTTTGTTCNCTATTGTCTGTGTCCATGGGTTATGCGTATATGCATATAAATTCTTTGGTCAATCTCTCCCCACCCACCCCCACCTTCCCTCTGAGATTCGTCAGTCTGATCCATGCTTCCATGTCAAGTGAGTTGTTTTTTAATTGATGAATTTGCTGTTTGAATGGCTCCCAAGTACTGTATAGTGCTAAGTGCTATCTAACATTCCTAAGCACGACAGGCTGTGATGTGGAGAGAAAAGGTGTGTTAGATTAAGTTTCCTTCAGGCATGAGTTATAATGCTGGTGACTGTGAGTCCAGTGTTCATGAGTTAACAATATATATTAAATAAGGTATCTTTAAACAGAAACACACATAAAGCCAGTTATCTATTGGTTAGTTGATGAAAATATTATAACCAGAGGCTCTTGAGGATCTAACCTCCTATTTCTCCAGGGAGCAGTGGTTCAGCATTTGCTCCTTCAGTGTTTGTGGTGACTTTATAGGACATCACCCCAAATAAAGAGAATCGACTGTAGAGCAAGAGACTTTGCCAATAAAATAAATTTATTTTGGAGGTGGCATGACTTGTTACTACAGAAAAGAAATTCCCTTTCCACTCATCTTTATAAAGAATACAAACTTTCATAATTTCTGTAATGATATAGATATAAATGATGTGGAGATACAGGTGCTTACAAGCATGACAAAATTCTAACTATTGAATTGTGCATTAGGGAGATATGAATGTGTGTCATTAGGACTAGCAATTTAAATGTTTTTTCTTCCTTTGAAAACTGTGTGGCATCAGAAAGAAGCTAATTTGCTGAGTCTGCCTGAGGTGGAGAGGGTTGGGGAGTCTCACCCCATTTCGCAGTCTCCTGTTGTAATTCTGTCCAGGTATTCTAACCCTGTGGGTTCTAACTTTGATTTCATCAACAAGACTGGCCTGGCCTGTATCCCCCACAGCCTGTAACAGCTCTAAGTGGGATGAAAGGTCCACAAGGAGTATCCCAAGGATGATCCTTGAAGAGAGTGGGCCTCTGGCTTCCATCAAGGTGATAAGCTAAAAACATCCTGCTGGCCCCCTTCTCTACACTGAAGTCTGGAATTTCCAGCAAAGACATGGGAAAACATAATGAATCCAGAGGCAGACTTTGACAACTGTATCAAAACGCTGAGAAACTCTCAAGAAAATAAAGGACTAGAGTAGGAGAAGCCTAGGGGATGGGAGGAGAAGAGAAGGGAGAAGGCAAGACGTGAAGTCTCTAGATGGAGTTGTAGGCCAGTCCAGGGAGGGAGCTGTGATCTCGTTGGGCCAGGCTTAGACAGGAGATGAAAGAATCTTGTCTGTCGTGTTTGAAAACTTGGATTATATATGCTCAAAGCTGGATTTCCACACGGACTTTGACTGCTGTTTTTAGTCCATGGCAGAAAATGAGACAGCCAAGGTTCTACATAATAATTTGATGCCAGCAGCTTACCTCCCTAAAGCACTGATCTCAGCATTGAGATCTGTAATGTAGCCACAGATAGTCAGTAGGACCCTGAGTTGTCTCCTCAACTTCCATTAGAGAAAGCAGCCTCAGATATAAAAGAACTGGGCTGTGCATCTTTAGGACAAAAAAATGGCAGGGAAAGCAAGTGTAGTTAAGCCCAGCAAACTGCAGTGGCACCACTCAACTCGCCTTTCCCATACTCACCAACTTAGCCTCCCTGTTCCGCGGATTATCTATGTAGTTGTCAAAAGCAGAGGCAACTGATAGTCTTAAGAGTAATACAGGTGACACCTCAATTGAAAAAATGATAACACATCTAAAGAACAAAAGCATCATGAAGAGTGAGATGTAGGGAACCTATACCAGAGGAAGCAGGCCTGCCAGAGCAAACGGAACAGGAATTTAAAACCAATGGAACCAAGTTAAAGCTTTACTATTTGGGGAAGTAAAAGAAACGGCAGAAAACAGAGGCAAAATAATAAAAATCAAATTGACTTTAATTTTCCAACAGCAGCACTGGATATAAGAGCGTAACATTAAAGTATTGAAGGAAAGAATTTTGAGCCCAGAATTATTTAAATGTGAGGGTCAAATAAAAATACCTGCGGGTATAAAAGGGCTGGTTTCAGATTTACTCTCCTGCCGTGAATAACTGCAGAACGGGGCAAAATAGATTAGGTGACTGTTGTCAAGTGCTGGGCAGCAACCAGTGAAGCTCATCGCGCCCTCCCCTGACCCCCCGAGAGAAGTTTTTCTGGCTGTGGTACAGGCAGGTGAGCCCAAGGGGAGAGCAGTGTTCCTGCTGAGCCTGGACGTGGGAATAGAATTCAGAGCCTCTGGTAGGACTGGAGTTTGCAGGTCAGGGTGTTGGAGAGGAGGAAGCCTGCATGGGCTTCCCTTCGGGTGGCTGATCAGGGGCCGGGCTCTGCATGCGCTATCAAAATAGTACATACCCCTGGCTTAAAAAATCAGCTAGAACTGTCTGTAGTGTATTCTGAAGTTTCACAGTGGTGCCCTCTCCTGCGTATTGTGTGGTAGACTCCCGGCATACATTACCTGCCTTCAAACCCTGGGTCTTCTACTTAAAGACCTTGGGCATGTTTTGTATCTGTTTCTTTATCTGTAAAATGGGGGTGATAATTACAAAGCACCCATTTTATAGAGTTATTGCGATGATTAAGCAAGTTAATGTATGTGAAACAATTAGAGGAGTAACTGATGCATGAATGGTAAGTGCTGTGCTGGTCAGCTGGGCCAGATACTTGGTGAACCCTTTCAGTCTAGAAACTCCTATCTATCAGTTCAGGGCAATATTCTTGATTTATTTCATTGATGACTTTTACCTTCCATTTTCTCTGTTCTCTGTTTTTTGAAGTTCTTTATTTGGATGTTGGATTGCTTGCCCTGGTCCCCTAATTGTCTTGTCTTTTCTATTTTATTTTTGTCTTTACTATCAACTTTGCTCTCTGTTTCTCCAACTCTACTATTGAGTACAATTTTTGTTTTCTGAATCCTTCTGTTTTTATAGGCTCCATGTTTTGGTTTTGTGACTGCAATATCTTCTCTTATCTAGCTGGAGATGTTATAATGGTAGTTCGTTTTTCTTTAATTTTTCCTCCATGCAAATAGTCTCTTATTTTCTCCAAGAATGCTCCCCTGTTTCTGTTTATTTGTTTGTAGTTATCTGTCTTCCACGCTAGGGGCTTCCCTCGGGTGTCTGGGAATCAATCCTTTGTTTTCTTCTCAGGATTAAGAGATGAGGCTTGGAGCCTGTGAGTGAGGCGTGTTGACTTGGAGCTTCACTGGAGGGATCTATCTGGGTGGATCTTTTTTCCCTTCCTTTTTTGCAGAAACCCTTGTGTCAGTATTTTAGTCTTTCCATGTGGGTTGGTCAGATTCCCTAGGGGAAGCTCTCACACATCTGAAGGGTGGAGGGCTGGTGTCTGTGTTCTTGGAGCCAGCGGGGCAATTGGCTGGGACATCAGTAATAATCCTTCATTGTGTATGGTCACTGAACCGCGTTTTTGATCAAGGACTTTCTCTTTTACCCTTTCCAGTGAATAAATTTCCAGCTTCCTACTGCCAGTGACCCAGCAGTGGGGAGTGCATTTGGGGCCTGGAGTTCTAACTGCTTCTCAAAGAGGTCTCCCTGAGGCCTCCTTTGCTGCTTTAGGACTCAGCTTTCTGCTAAGTCAGAGACTACTTGTCCATCTTCTCTTGAGCTTCCAAAATTTGTTTCTCTCATCCCTTTTCCTGTTTTCCCTGTTCTTGTGGATTTATTATTTTTAAAGTCTCTTTAATGTGGCTTTAGTAGATCGTTTTGAGGAAGCAAGATGGGAGCTGTACATTCATTCTTAACTCCGAAGTCATCAATCTCACCTGAAATGTTACCTCCTCCAGAGGAGCTTCCCTTCCTCCTGCTACCTTCAACCCCCATGGTTGGTCCCTTGTGGGTATTCATAGTGCCATGTGTTTCTTTTTATCCCAACGCTATCTATCTGGGTTGCAATTAATTGCATTCTTGTTTGTCTTTCTTGCTCTAAAGTCAATGCTCTGAAAGGCAAGACTGTCTCAGCTCTATCCCTAGCGCCTCACAGAGAGCCTGACCTACAACACAAGCACAGTAATTTTTTCTTGAATGAATAAATGATTTCTGATGATGAATAGCAAATTATAATAGGAAAGGGTGTGGTTAATTCCTATCTTATTTGATTTAGGGAGTCAAGGCCTGTAGAACCAAAAGTTTTTCTTATTTCTATGCTAATAAATACATGAGAAGACATGGTTTCTTAGAAAATCATCTCTTACTGGTTTGAATGGCTAGAATTACTTGTTTTATTTGATTACTGAGAATTAACAAGGAAATAAATACGTGAGCACCTTCCACCATTCTCTCCTAATTTCATATACAATTTTTTCTTTCAGTTAATGTACACTA